AAAAAAAAAAAAAAAAAAAAAAAAAAAAAAGAAATATTAGAAAAAAACACCCGGTGCTCTTGGCCTGTCCTGCATCCAATTTTTAGGAAAATGGAATGTAAAAATGTTAACAGAATTAATTTTTCACAGGCCCCAAACATTTTCATTTTCTATTGTATTTTAAAGCAACAAAATCTGGCTATGCAACATACTTTAAAAAAAAAAAAAAAAAAAAAAAAAAAAAAAAAAAAAAAAAACTTCTGTAGCTTACACGGAGCTGAGAAAATCGGATTCTGTTTCTACTCTAATTCTTTCTGTTTATGTGCATGTTAACAGGCCAGAGTTAAAATTGATAACGTTGCTGCCAATTGCAGAACCGCAGCAGCAGAGGGAAGAAGAGAACTGGTGGGGCTTCCGGGCCTGGCAACCCATCATGAGCATGAGCAGGATCCTAGCTGAACGACTGCAAGTGCTACATTCTACGAAACCTGGCTAAACAGGAAAACTCTGGGCACCATATCCAAGAAGAGCACATCCAAATGCCTGGCTGCTTTGCTCGTGCGCAAAGAACCACAGATGCAGTGGCAAGCGGTATGGTGATGGGGTGAGATGTGGTGGAGAAAGGGGGTGTGTTTTAGGGCTTCAGAGCAAAAGCAGAGTCCTGGGAGCAGAGAGCGAGAGACACAGATGGGGGAAAGAATTTGATGAGCCTGCAACCATTTTGGTCTCTTCCTAACGCAGAGCTGACAAAATCTGGTACAGGGGGGACGGCATTGGTATCTTCCCACTTCCTAGGGGCCAGCCCAGCACTCATGCAGGTATGAGGCCCTTGGCAGGATGGCCCCGCCCCCAGGCCCTGCCCTGTCCCGACATTGACTTTCGTTCTGTGCTCCAAAGTGCATGCCTCCCATCCCTCCATTCATATTTGTGTCCATGTCTATATCGACATCCACATAGTCACATAGATGTGTATATTGTATATTGCCTTACTCACTGAGCAAACATTGCTGGCAGTCTCAGCAACATCAAACCCATCCCTCAGGGGTGGCCACTGATTGGCCCAAGTTAACCAGTATAATCCACAAGTGATTGGTTTGGTTCTGATCACCTGTCCAGGTATTAAACTCACCAATGCTTGGCATTCCCCGGCCTAAGTGATTGTTTCACAGGTGGGCACATGATCTGAGTTAGACCTGGTTAAAGCCCAGGGGGTTTGCTCAGTAGCTGGATAACTGTCTGAAGTACACTGACTGGAGCCCTGGAATGGCTGCAGCCATTCTGTGGTCATGAAGGTGAGAAGCCTGAGAATGTTGCCAACAAACTGAGGAGCTGAGAGAATTGCAATGGAGCAGAAGCCCTAATTAAACCATGTCTATGGATTGGCCCCGTCTTTGGCCTTTTCCATTGTTTAAGCCAGTTTAAACTGCATCTTCCACTATTTGCAGTTGCCCGAGAACATCCTTACTAAGATATGTGGTAGGCACTGGAGGCTCAGTGGTAACACACAGTGCCTACCCTCTGCACTTACGTTTTGGTAGGTGGTAGAAAATAAATGATTTTGTCCAGCGTTAACTGTTGTGCTAGTGATAGGGGACTCGCTACTTTAGGTTGTCAGGGAAGGCCCTCTGAGGAGGTGACATGAGAACTAAGACCTGAAGGGTAAGCAAGAGCCAGCCCTGGGAAGATCTGGGGTAGAGGAATAGCAGGCAGAGGGGACAGCTGATGCAAGTGTGGGAGGTTCAGAAGTGCAAAGAAGTCCAGCGGGCTGGCACCTGTCAAGCACGGGGTGCGAATGAAATGAAGGTAAATGATCTGGCCTGGAGGCCGCGTATGGAGTTTGACCTTCCTCTGAGTGACAGAGGGAGCACTGGAGGACTCTGAGCAGAGCACAGCATGCCTAACCTAATATTTTTAAAGGACCCTTGTAGTTGCTTTGTTGGGAAATGACTATGGGAACAAGAAGAGCAGCAGAGACCAGTTAGAGGCTGCAGAGAAGTGAAGCTGGTTTGGCCCCAGGTGGGAACAGCCAAGGTGGTGAGAGGTGGACAGATACATTCCCTCAGGGCAACTGGATGCTCCCTTGGAGGGAAGCAGCAACTGGGTCGCTAGGGTGAGAAGAACTGCTCTCCACCTTCCTGTATTTTCCAAAAGGGTTAACTGAAGTGCATCTTTAATGGGCCAAACTGTGGGGCCCATGTGAGATGATGAAGAGATGTAAGCACTGAGTGGAAAGTTACTATATCTGGGGGTAGGAAGCCATACTATTAACAAAACAGATATGCCTAGGAAACTACTTCTGGTTTTCTCCATTACTTCCTCTATTTTTGAAACCAAGATGAACACAACAGTGAGGTTTCCAAATAGGGGGAAGACATCACAGGAGCAGCAGCGACCCACACCTCAGTTATTTCTAAGTTGGTTGTCCCCTGTCCTAAAATTTTCATTCAACAGTTTATTAACACTGAAGCAAAAGTCAAAAATGGACTATCAGGCACCCAGTAAAGGTCTCCTTATTTTAAAATGCACCTTCAACACAGCATCATACAGGATTCTACCTTTGCCTAATAAACTGAGTGCTTATTTCAGGCTTTAGAAAAACATCTTCAAGTCCAGCGTTAAAAACATACATGTAGAAGCACAGTTCTAAATCTCTAGCAGTGGTGCTCAGTCTGGCCGCATGCCAGATCACTGCCTGTTTCAAAGAGCTTTCCAGGCTCCATCCCCAGAGATTCCAATTCAGGAGGTCTAGGTTAGGCTGGACAATCTGTAGTTTTTAATAAGTTCTACAAGGTGATTCCAGTCAACTTTAGAACTGCTGTTCTGTGGTTTCTACAACACCATTACCTGTGTCCTAAGTTCCCTGGGCATCTCATAATCTGTATTTTTTGATACTAAAATGTCTCATGTTTTTGTAAGTGGATGGTATTTGTTAATAAGAACTAGCTGGAGTCTTTAGGAGCACAGAAAGGAGCCAGAATGAGTGCAATCACCAGGTGGTTAGAGGACAGAGGATGCAGGACATTGGTCATGAAGGGGTGGCATGCTGGACACTGCCAAGAATTATCTATCCCCATCTTTAACTAATTAGCCACAAGTAATTTCTCAACCTCACTCCTTTAGTAGTATTTAAAGCCCATTCACCTCCAATCAAATTTTTTTAAAAAAAAAAACTATGGGGCAAGCAGCTTTCTTTTCCCACTGCCACACCCATTCTGACAGGCCCACCCCAGATGAAGTACAGCCAGCCCTTCTAGTCTAGGCGCCACCCCCCACGCCCCACTCGACCAGTTTGAGCATCTCTGGCCTACCTTTACTGCATAAAAGCTTACCCTTGACAGCTCTGTTGTACATAATCAACATGGTTCAAACAGAGAAGCAAACGAACCTTAATTTTTTAAAAATGAGCTCTGTACGTATTCTAAATTATAAACAGAGAGGTAGGCAAACAAATTTTTAAAAACAAATAAGTTAATAAAACTTACTGTTAATTGAATCAGGACATATAAAAGTGGCATTACGGACACTTTTTTAATGACAACAGATGGCAAATTTATACAAATTACAGGCTAGATATAATGAATACAAAATCCATCCAGATAATGGTTAGAAAAGCATCATTTACAAAAGTAAATCTGATTCACAGTGGCTAAAGTCCCCCATTTTGATAATTACACATGGCTTGAAATGTAGTACATCTAAATCCTCCCCTAGTCGAGCTCTGTTCAATACTACAGCATATTCAATGACTCTAGTGATTTAAAGACTCTAACACTTTTAGCACTGACGTCAAGAGACATATCGTAACAGGTTCACTATGCAAAACTAAAATGAGAATGTGTGAACGTTCTTTGCAAACTGTAAGGTGCTGTGCAGATGTTGTTAGCTATTGCTATTACTGTTCAGTGACATTTCACTGAATGTGGGAAAAAGGAACACTAGTCTGTATAAATGACAAATATGATTTACAGAACATCTTAAAAGGAACGCAGATATTACTTTCTAGTAGACACAGCAACAACACAGGCAAGGAAAGTGTGGCCAGGAGTGATGTCGAGGAATTCCAGACACTTTAAGGAATATCTAAAGAACTAAACTATTCATAGACTATGTGTAATATTTATCGTTAGGGTCCCAAAGTCCCTGAAAATAATTTATTTTTTAAGGTGATCCTTTCCCCCTACAAAAGGAAAATGAAATCTTGTCAAGTTGTTAATGCACTGCTTACACTGAGCTCTTGTAAAAATTATCTTAAACACAGGAGTATGAATTAATGGCTGTACTACTCTGGTGGACAATACAGAGCACTTGACAGCAGAAAAACCTGCCACTGACCTGTGCCATAGTTGAACCATTTATCAAATGGGCCTAACAACAGTCTACAACTTCATTTGGGCATGAATTAAACAATAAACATGAACTTATCTGGAGATAAGAAATAAACACTAGATACACTTAAAACAGGATTTAAATCCTTTCTTTCATATATCTTTCATGTTCTTTGGGTATTCTTTACTTATATAACCGTTTTTACCGGTCTCCTTGGGTACTCTAACTGCATATAGAAAATTTACTTGAAAATGGAAAATAAATACCAAACAAGTCAATCGGTTCCTCCTTTTGGCAAAACGGATGAGATATTTATAATGAAAACATTCTGATTATTACAATTTTTGTTAGATTCCCATGAAACAAAGGGTTTTTTAAATGGCAGGTTTAAATTTCTTCACTAACAACTCAAAAATCAAATTATTCTGTAATATGTAAAATGGTATTCATTTGAAGAGTTAATGACATCGGATGCATTCTACAGCAGACTTTTCATTTTTCAGCACAATGGGGAAAAATGATTACATTCTGGGGGGCAAAACAGGAGAGGAGGAAAGTAATGTGTTACAGTAAATGGGGTTAAATCAGTAGTTTGGACTGACATTTCAAGTTACACTTTTTAACTGAGGTTATTCGTACAATCAATTTTCAAACAATAATGAACATATTCCTACCTTAAAACATTTATAAGGGCTCAACTGTAGCTTTCCTTTCTATACATATTGAAGTATATACATTGTGCAAGAGGAAAGCAGTGAGACATCTTGAAAAATAAATGTATTTGTCAAATATGTTATTTAACATGATTAAGAACAGCAGCAAACTAGTCAGTTAGCAGTTAAAAGCCTAGGAAAAAAAATAAGTGCTTTGAAAACAAGCCTATTTTGTAACAGTCCTAAATATCAGCCCTAGTATCCAACTTCAACTTTCAAACACTTGGTACTTTTTCCAAGAAGAAATTACAACCGTTTTTGCATGAATTCCTAGTTTAAATATTTGCAGAAATATACCCATATCATTATCTACTCAGCAAACATCTGAGACCAAACAAAATAATCCAACATTGAACATTAATATTTTACAAATAGCATGAGATCTGAAAAGTACAAGAAAAACCTTAGCATTATATAGAGAAATTAGGTGGACAATTCTAAATATGACAGTGCATTTTAAGAGGGGATCATCTAGAAATCTACTACAAAATATCCTTGACTCAAATGTCATTATACTAAAATTGTAGTCTTTACCAAAAAAACCCACCACTTTACATTTAGAATAACTCCTTAAAGACATTTAAACTGTAGATAGCATTTAACTATAAGCAAGAATTTAAAACAGTCCTATAATAATCATGCTGACCTTTTATTTGTGTCAATAATTAAACACAAATGCCTATTTGACTTTTATGCCTAACATCTCTCTATTCCTTTAGTCCAGTTCCACAACATAAAAAATAATAAGGGTGAACAAACAAATCAGTAATGGCAGACACTTAAGCAAGGGCCAGTGTATTAGGATAATTAGTAACAGGAAATTTGAATTTGAAAAAGAGTAAAGGCAGAATGTGCTTTTTGAGAAAATGCCCAATAATCACTCCTCTGAAAAAATACAAATAGTTGTCACGTAAAGCTGGCAGAATGTGAACTTAAACCAAACTTTTAGTGTGTATCAAACTAGCGTTAGGAAATAGCTTTCAAAACTGCACACAAGATATAAACCAAAATAGTGGTTATTTCCAAGTGGCAACATAATGGAGAATTTTAATTTTCTTCCTTTCTGAATATGCATTTTTTCAGTTTTCTACAGAGAACATATATTATGGTTTTATAATAAAGAAAAAAAACATTTGGGTGAGACTGTTTTTAGATTGCACACAAATAGTATCAAGTGGCTGGAAAGAATATAGACTAAGGATACCAAAAGAAAATCACAAGTTGTTTTTTTTTCCTTTTCCCATCATAAAGGACCTTAAAAAGACAACTAAACTAGAAATCCCAAGGAGAATACTTCTTGGGTGATAAAAATGATTTCAGGATTGCTTACACTCCCAACATATGCAAAAACGAACATTTAAATGTAAATTCCTATCATATACACTACAATAGAAAAAAAAGTAAGAAGAACAATTTTAAATGGAGTTTCCAAAAACCTTGTAATCAAAGCCTAAACTCAATGTTGAATGAGGAAGCAAAGCACATCATTAAAAGCTTGCCTGAAAAGCACAAAGCTGGCATGCAAGGCGACTTTGGGAACGAAATGGGCTTGAGTGTCTGAGCAGCTAGCTCTTTGCTTTGCTTTCTAGATTCTTCAGTAAACCAAAGTCCTTTTATATAAATGTGTATAATTTAGCCTAGTTTTCCCATAAAATAATGTAACGAAAGATTCCTATTGACTAGGGATTATACTTATGCAAAATTCCTCAGTGACATTCAGATTAATTCCAGTGTAGACAATTTAAGCAAATTTCCATAGGAAGTTAAAACCCCGAATCCAATGACCCGGTATTTTCACGATAGTTAGGGACAGTGTTCCAGTGTAAAATGAAGGTAAGACTTGCTTCACTGTGTACATCTTAATATATCCAGAGGAGTAAAACTCAAAAGTAACTGTAAGTCATAATACTATAAAACATTTTTTGTTGTAATCAAATTCTTCCCACAATAATGTGTAATTAATATAACATGTTCATTTGTAACTAATTTAACATTTCCAAATTCTCATTTGCAAATGAAAGGCTCACACAACTGAAGCTGTTATACAAACCATTGTATTAAAAGGATCAAAATTTATACTAGTCAAACTTGACTCCTTAAGACTTATTTTAACATATTCTTTCAACTTTATTCAAATCATAAGTGCCCCAGAAGCATTTAACATTTAAAAAAATCAACTTAATGTTATCAAAAGGTGATGTTCACTTTAATCCTGTTTGCCTTCACGCCACTGTCGTGAGCCCTCATTCCAGGCCACATACACAAAGAGGGCCAGCACCACATGCACTGCGACCACTGCAACGATAGCAGCGTAAAAATAGCTGTCCCTATTGGACATCCCAAGGGCACCTATTAAGAGAAAAAAAGTTTCCATTTTATTCCAAAATTTACCAAAGTACACAAAAGCATACTAATTTCAATTAGCTACATATTTATTTAACTAGTCAGGCAATTAAAAGAACAATATTCTGGGTAGTAATGAATCAAGTATTCATTAAAAGATTTGAGTACCTCCCATTCACTAAGAACATTATTTAAAACAAATCCATAATTATAACTTAATCTAAGGACTCTGGCATTAAAAGAGGACTTTTCTCTTCTTTCCAATATCTGACACCAAAAGTCCATTCCCCCAAATTCTTCCTCCCGTGTCAACCAACCTCTGCTCTCGAAGAGACAGTAAAAGATAAATATGCAAGCTGTTTTACAGAAAACCATAAAAAAATAAGATGCCAAGCTGAAATAAATGATGAAAAAGTTCATTTCATAAAGACTCATTATGAACAATCTGATTTTTGAAAAGCAAAACAGAAAAAAATTAAGAATACCTAGTTTACAGATATAAATAGGTTAAAAAAAGAAAAGAAAAGAAAGCACAGAATCTCAAATTAGTAAGGGGAGAAGGTCTTGTTTTATGGGTCTAAGATTACCTTCAAATATATAAGATTTGGTTGTGAAATATAATCCAATAGGTACAGTGATCATTAAAGCTGTGAAGAACAGGAGCGTCTTCAGGGTAGATGCTAACGAACTTTCATTTCTGAAATAAAGTAAACGGAGAGAAAAATCAAACCCTGCACAGCCATATGCAGACACTCTTACGTCCTTAACGGTATAAACGCCGACAGATGAGATGCTGGAAACCTGTCCCCTTCCTTGGAAGCAGAGACCAGAGGAGTAAAGCTGAGCCGGGGGCTCACACTTGGAAGATCTTAGAGACCCAGCTGTGGGCAGCTGGAGTTTCTTCAGCGGGAACATGGGGATTAGAACAGCACCTTCTGTCATTCTGATCCAGTATGAGAGGCAGTATCATACATAGTGCTGCAGACCAGCGCAAAGGCCAGCAGAGCAGCTAAGTCCCCAACTCCACCCCACAGCTGAACTGGCGAACCTACCACCAGAGCACCAATACCTGAGCCAAAGAGACACCTTGCCCGCCAGAACCAGGATTAAGACAAGCATAACGCCCACATGTCCTTTACTGCGCTGCAACCAATCTGGGATCCGGCCCGTGGCCCAAGGATGAAACACAGTGGAACGCTGCCCCGACAACCAGGCGCTGGTCTAGCAGCACGTCCGCCTTAATTCACCAACAGCAACCTGGGAGACCGCCTCTCTCCAGAGGGGACACAGCGGAACTCCGCCCCCAGAACCACACACTGGCTAACCGCACACTCTCCTGTCCCTTACTGTGCTGAAACAGACCAAGGAGTCCACCGCTCAAGGCGAGACAGACCCGAATCCTGCCCCACAACCAGGTGCTGGAATCGCCGCATGCCCGCCTGTCCTTTACTGCGCTGATACCAACAATGGAGCACGCACCCCGGAGCAACAAGGAGCCGAATCCTGCCCCAAGAACCAGGCACTGATCTAGGAGCAAGTCCGCCTTAATTCACCAACAGCAACCTGGGAGACCGCCTCTCTCCAGAGGGGACACAGCGGAACTCCGCCCCCAGAACCACACACTGGCTAACCGCACACTCTCCTGTCCCTTACTGCGCTGAAACAGACCAAGGAGTCCACCGCTCAAGGAGAGACAGAGCCGAATCCTGCCCCCACAACCAGGCGCTGGACTCGCCGCATGCCCGCCTGTCCTTTAACGCGCTGATACCGACAATGAAGCACGCACCCCGGAACAACAAGGGGCCGAATCCTGCCCCCAGAACAAGGCGCTGGACTGGCCACATGCCCACCTGTCCTCTACCGCGCTGATACCGACAATGGAGCACGCACCCCGGAGCAACAAGGAGCTGACACACACCAAGAAGTCCACCGCTCAAGGCGAGATAGAGCCTAATCCTGCCCCCAGAACCAGGCGCTGGACTTGCCAAATGCCCGCCTGTCCTTTACCGCGCTGGACTTGCCGCATGCCCGCCTGTCCTTTACCGCGCTGATACCGAAAAGGGAACACGCACCCGGAGCGAGACAGTGCAGAATTCTGTTCCCACAACCAGGCGCTGGACTCGCCTCATGCCCGCCTGTCCTTTAGCGCGCTGATAGTGACCAGGGAGCACGCAGACCGGAACAACAAGGAGCCGAATCCTACCCCCAGAACCAAGCCCTGGACTTGCCGCATGCCCGCCTGTCCTTTACCGTGCTGATACCAAACAGGGAACACGCACCCGGAGCGAGACAGTGCAGAATTCTGCCCCCACAACCAGGCGCTGGACTCGCCTCGTGCCCGCCTGTCCTTTACCGTGCTGATACCAACAATGGAGCACGCACCCGGGAGCGACAAGGACCCGAATCCTGCCCCGAGAACCAGGCGCTGGTCTAGCGGCACGTCCGCCTTAATTCACCAACATCAACCTGGGAGACCGCCTCTCTCCAGAGGGGACACAGCAGAACTCCGCCCCCAGAACCACACACTGGCTAACCGCACACTCTCCTGTCCCTTACTGAGCTGAAACAGACCAAGGAGTCCACCGCTCAAGGCGAGACAGAGCCGAATCCTGCCCCCAGAACCAGGCGCTGGACTTGCCGTATGCTCGCCTATCCTTTACTGTGCGCTGAAACGGACAAGGGAGCACACACCGGGAGCGAGACAGAACCGAATCCTGCCCCCACAACCAGGTGCTGGACTCACCACATGCCTGCCTGACCTTTACCGTGCGCTGATACAGACAAGGGAGCAAACACCCGAAGCGAGACAGGGCAGAATCCTGTCCCCACAACCAGGCGCTGGAATCGCCGCATGCCCGCCTGTCCTTTACTACGCTGATACCGACAATGGAGCACGCACCCCGCAGCAACAAGGAGCCGAATCCTGCCCCAGAACCAGGCGCTGGTCTAGCGGCACATCCGCCTTAATTCGCCAACAGCAACCTAGGAGACCGCCTCTCTCCAGAGGGGACACAGCGGAACTCCGCCCCCAGAACCACACACTGGCTAATCGCACACTCTCCTGTCCCTTACTGCGCTGAAACAGACCAAGGAGTCCACCGCTCAAGGCGAGACAGAGCCGAATCCTGCCCCCACAACCAGGCACTGGACTCGCCACATGCTCGCCTGTCCTTTACCCGCGAGCCGATAAGGACAAGGGGGCACGCACCCCGGAGCTAGACAGAGCCGAATCCTGCCCCAGAACCAGGCGCTGGTCTAGCGGCACATCCGCCTTAATTCACCAACAGCAACCTGGGAGACTACCTCTCTCCAGAGGGGACACAGCGGAACTCCGCCCCCAGAACCACACACTGGCTAACCGCACACTCTCCTGTCCCTTACTGCGCTGAAACAGACCAAGGAGTCCACTGCCCAAGGCAAGACAGAGCCGAATCCTGCCCCCAGAACCAGGCGCTGGACTCGCCGCATGCCCGCCTGTCCTTTACTACGCTGATACCGACAATGGAGCACGCACCCCGGAACAACAAGGAGCCGAATCCTGCCCCAGAACCAGGGCGCTGGTCTAGCGGCACATCCGCCTTAATTCACCAACAGCAACCTGGGAGACTACCTCTCTCCAGAGGGGACACAGCGGAACTCCGCCCCCAGAACCACACACTGGCTAACCGCACACTCTCCTGTCCCCTACTGCGCTGAAACAGACCAAGGAGTCCACTGCTCAAGGCAAGACAGAGCCGAATCCTGCCCCCAGACCCAGGCGCTGGACTCGCCGCATGCCCGCCTGTCATTTACCGCGCTGATAACGACCAGGGAGCACACACCCCGGAGCAACAAGGAGCCGAATCCTGCCCCAGAACCAGGGCGCTGGTCTAGCGGCACATCCGCCTTAATTCACCAACAGCAACCTGGGAGACTACCTCTCT